TTAAGAACCGACTTGATTTCCATCCTTTAGAAATTTACCTGAAGTTACTGATCAATCGAATTAACTGAGAATTCTGCCAAACAGTTCTCCAGAATATCTACTAACTTGTACCCTTTTCCCCCCAGAAATATTTGAATGTAGTGTGAACATTTTCCAAGAATGTACAATCAGGAGAACCCAGAATTATGAAAAAGAAAATAGCAAATTCATGGTAGTGTTATGTTAATTATACATGTCAATTAAGCCTTGTTTTATTAGTCAATCACTGAACAAATTATAGTATTTAAGTATTGTTACGAATATTGCATCACATGCCGGAATTCGTTGCGCGCGGATTGCGTCATCTGCCTTCCCCCCTCGCCCGGCCGAACTAGACGGTTCCGGGACTATCCGCGAGCCGCGGGGAAACGCGAGAATGTGACTGGTGCCCTGGAGACAAGCGCCGGGCAGGTATAAATGCGCCGCTGCCGGCGGCCGCGATCCCAGTTGAGTAGAGATCGTGAGTAGAAGTCAGTGGGGGTGAGTAAGGCGTCAAGTGTGAGTGGCAGAGAAAGCAGTCAGTCCGTTCAGTGTGTCGAAGTGGAAGCTGTGGCGTGAAATGTGCATTTCGCGGTGCTGAAGAGTGGTGTGGCGGCGGTTTGAACAGCAGTCACAGCAGTTATGAGAGGTCTGCAGTGAAGCTGAGCTGTGAAGGGGGCATCGCGGGTAAGCAGTCTGGTGAGTGGGAAACAGCAGTCAGCCAGGTGGTGGGAAGTCTGCAGTGGAAGCTGAGTGGAAGCATCGCGGTTGAAACGAGCGGGTAGGGGCCTGGGCCGGGGGCCCGGGCGGAGGCTGGCGAGGGTTCGGCAGGTCCCAGGCGGCGGGGCGGAGGCAGCCGGCGACGGGGCGGCGGAGCCGAAAGGCGCCCCTCAGAGCGATCTCGAGCGGCAGGGGGGCCGTGCAGGCCTGCTGGACGAGCGGGGCGCAGCCGAGGGGAGGGTCGCGCGGAGTGTGGGGCCGCGGCGGCGGCGAGCGGCCGGACGGAGCTGCAGTGGACCCATTAGGTGTGCGCAGTGAAGTGTGGTCTGCTCAAGGAATTGTGGGTCTGCAGCAGGGGATTGTTGCGTCTGTGCAAGGGAAGTGTGGGTTCAAGTGCAAAGTGGACCGTTGACAGTGCAGAACTGGCTGATACTGTAGAAGGAGAAATGTGTAAATAAATAGTGGTGTAAGGAGTGACTTGTAAATAATTATGCAAGGAGAACGGAATGCGTGTGGTATAAAGAAAAATAATTAATTTGTAAGGTGAGTGATCGTAAATAGACCAGATATTTAGTGGTATGATTGTTCACGAATAAACCTTGCTTTGTTTACGAATATTGTGTTGGTTTTAATTCACCACGGAGAAAACGTTACGAGTAATTATTTCAACATTAATCTCACATAGTACTACCCATATCTGATAAGTCACTGATCAATGAGATAGATACGACATGGGCTAGTCAGCAGATGAGCAACGTGAAAATGAAAATCGTAATTATAAGAACACGGAGGATAACATAACTGCAAAAACATTATACGCACACATTAATTTGAATCTTCTGATACAGACGAAGATGAAAAGTATGGCAGAATTCGATAGTTTTTTTCCAAAAACTACGTGGAGCTTTTGCAGAGTATATTCCCATTTCATTTCGGTAAGTGGATGACTTAATTCAATCGATCGTATGTTTCTCAACAGTATTTCGAAATGTTTTGAATCACTTAGTATAATTTTTCATCATTAATGATACGGAATTAAATGAATCTCTCGTTAAAACTGTTTCTAACAGCCACGCGATAAAAATTACAATTAACAACAAAACTCAGCCAACCGCAGCCAGCTGTGAATGCAACTCAGCTGACTGGCGGAAGAATATTTAGCGCAGAGCGATACGGTCTTAGGCGACGCTCATCAGTTATAGACGCTGTCATTATAATCGTTCACTGCCCTGAACGCTCTGTAACAATTCTCCGTATGGGTCACTTCTGCTGGTACAGACTTTTACAAGCGTGGCATGCAGACTCTTGTTCATCGGTGGATAAAATGGATAGAAAAGGGGGGACTGTATTAAAAATAGTGTTGCGTTCAAAAAACTTTGTTTTAACACATTGTATGAATATTGTTTTTTATTTACCGTAGTTTTACAAATAAATGAAAGACATTACTTTCGGAACTACCCTCGTATTTGTTATTCATATTAGCAACATCGGTATTCATTTCTGTTCACGCATTTTTCAAAAACAGTAAAAATCTTCAGGTGACGTATGTGGGGGAGAGGGTAGATTACTCTAGGAAGGGATCGCTTTGATACCTCCTGCTTGGCCACTGAAGGCGATATAACTGCACGTTACGTCCATGCACACATTTGGTGAGGGCGTTCGTTTACAGTTAGCTCAATTGTAAATGGCTCCACCACTCTCTTGCAATGCCATCGCCCTGCATGACGTTCGTTTGTTTTCCGTCCGGTCAGAGTGGTACCTTCTTAGAGTAACTTCTCTATTCATGTTTTCTTGAGTGCCGCAATCAATCTCCTCTCTATTTTACTACATGTAGTTGAGTAATGCTTTTTTAAACTATTTTTATTAAGAATTTTGATGCCGAACAATCTGAGCTACGGAAGTATCAAAATATCGGTTCTAACTAAAATCTACATAAACTGATTTAACTCTATTCTTGCAGACGTGTTAACACATTAGTGTCACCCTCCTCCAAGAGTTCTTTGATCTACTGTTACTGAGAGAAGATTTTTATTAATTTCCTTACATTTAAGGACGTACAGAATGTCTCAGAATTAATGCAACAAACTTCTAGGGCATGTAGGTGGGCGACGATTTTCCCAACACCCAAAATATATTTGTTCGCTTCAGAAAGTGTATCTGCCAAACATCGGTGTTTGACGAGTTGCCTACCAATCAAGTGCAAATGTCAAATGTGTAATATCGTTACATATTTTTCATTACATCTCACTGAGAATAGTAATCATTAGGGAGCGAATTTTACTGTATAGGCATTATTTTATGTTATGACGAAAAGAAATATTCCATATTCATATGCCATTTTTTATATTGTGCATCGATATCGACTCCGTCTTTTTTACGTTTTCCCGTCATTTTTGAAACATTTTACGCTGATTTCATCTTTAATATGGTACTTGCTTCAAATAACATTTACGAGATGCAAGAAACGTTCTTCGCAGAATTTCTGAGTAGCCTATTCGATTTCTTCGCTCAGAAATTGTAATGTCAGCCGTTATCTGTATGGTGACGCAAATCAGTGCCATTGGCGGTTCTACCGATTTTGCGATAACTTAAGACAGAAATTTCCTGGTAAAGAAAAGTTTAAACCAAAAGCTTCAAAGCTGAGCTCACTTGAGAACGAAAGGAAGAAGCCTCTATTACATCAGTAACATAACCAACAACTTGAGTTGTTCATCTGAATTGGTTTTGTTAAATATTTACGTCATTTGTCTTTGCTTTTAGGATACTTTAAAACATTTTAAGAGTATTTTAATGATATTTTTTGACAATGTTTTAAGTCATCAAAATCCCCTAGTAGCATCTTCGCCCTTTTACATTCAACTGAAGTTTGTAACAATTATTACTAACCATTCTGTGTGGTGTAATATATAGCCTCTGCAATTTAAAAGTATCCCGAAAAGCATTCAAAAGATATGCAAAGTTTGTGTAATTTCCTCTTATTTAATATGTAACGTTACCGCACGATTATGAAACCATAAACACATTAATTTTGAAGAAATGGAAGTATCGACACACGAAAGCGATATTTATTACACAATTCTCAAATCTATTTTCGCATGTTTCTAGTTTTCATATGAACGCTTCTTCAGTTGTAGGTGAACGTTTAATGGATAATGTGACAACTATTGCTTTAGAATTGTACGTATTAAAATGAAACAATTTAACACTTCCTGGACTTCTATTACAATTGTCCATACACAGTTCGTATTACATTTATATCCAAATAAAATATAACAACTTCCATTTTATTTTTTCGTGTTTTCTACTAATTTTTTCGTCCTAACCTCGGGCCCACAATCGAAATATCTCTCTCGAATTGCCATTGAACCATCCACAATATCAAAGTATGCAGTCAAGGAGAAGTAGTGCTGTTTTTACTTTCTCGTGTACTAGTTACGTAGTATAGAGACGGTATTAAAGTGCTACAGATTTTATGACAAAAACGTGTTTTGTGGGTCCTTGCCACCAAAAAAGTGCCCAATTCTTCTTCTTAGAGGAGTGGAGGTAATTGGAGTAAATTAATTCCTCGAACATGTTGCGTTGTCAGAATCCATGTGTTGAGTGTCTTTGATACTGATAAATTGGTTTTCGGCAAAACGTCCTTCAGTCTTTTCGTCCAACCATCTGTGGCGGCTACACCGTTTTTTCATTAAAACTGGTATTCCTCTCTGGCTGATGTGACGGCCCCTTTTATTTTAAACGAATATTTTGTTTTCGGAGGGTACATTACATACAGTTACATGACATTTTATCAAAAACGGCTTCAATTTTTTACGTCATTGTTTCTCATAGAGAGATAACAAAACAAGTGCGGTTATAAAAATTGTGCAGGTCCAATTTTTCATTGATCTCTCTGAATTGTCAAACATTTCAAAAGTTGTAATGTAAGAATAAATGTATCAATAATTACAAACGTTAGCAACAAAAGAGTAGGAGCCGTTTTTTGAAAATTTTGATAATGTATCAGGGGTTTATGTAATGAACCCCTGAATATAGTGCGAAAGCAGCAACGAGAAAGTAAAAATTGGTATGATAAATTGTCACATCGGGTGAAATTGTTGCTACAAGGGGTGCTCAGGGAAGTAGTATATCAGTTCTTCTTTGCGCATTGGCAATAAAGCTTCATGTTATTCAACGTTAAGAAGCGTCTTTAACCTTTGAAATAAAGTAGATGTTTTATCGGTTTGTCTTACTAGTGTCATAAAATACTAGCCGAGACGTACATGCAGTAGTGCTCGAAGACGTGCGGGTAGAAGACGGCGGAGTCGCGGTACCACTGGGCGTCGGTGTAGGTGTCGAAGAAGAGCAGGTCGGCCTTGCCACTGTGCACCGCGCCCACCAGCCCCACGTACTCGCCGCTGGGCAGGCGCGTGCCGGTGAGCGCGCCGCGCGCCGAGAAGCACAGCGGCCGCGCGCCCACGTGCCGCGCCACCAGCGCCGCCATCCGCGGGCTCGGGTCGTTCGTCCAGTCCTGAGGAAGGGCGGTGCCAAAAGATTTGGAGCTTAACTTATTTTCACTGTATTATTCACAGCAAAATGTTTAAAAATATAACTCCCACATACCAGCGCGCTTTCTGTGGACTCGGGTCGTTTGTCTAGTACTAAGGCACTTAAAGGCCTCACTCAGGAGCCCGGGGCACTTGCTCCCCCCGAAATATTTGAGCCTTAATTAATGTTTAATTAAAATTAAGTAAAACCGGCCTCAATAGAGCATGTGATTGTGGCACTGCGCTGAGGAGATTGCAGGTTCGAATCCTGTGTTGGCATGGCTTAATACATACTTAAGTGGATATTTTATCGTTCGCCGCATTCGGGTGGCGTCGCCTGAATTCCTTAGATAAGTACATTTACAAAAATTTGTATACATTATTGCAATTTTCATTGGAAAAACTTAAAATGACTTTCAATACAGTTTTTTGAAATCTCAAACAATTTCTGTGCAAAAAAAGGTTCAAATTGTGCATTTACAGTAATGCTTAAAGGCAGTTCTTGAAAACAGCTCCAAGGTTTTCTACAAAAACTTCTTTATAAGGCGAGGTTTTACACTTCTACACTGGTGTTTGTGAAACTTGTCGTACCCAGAAGGTATGGTCGACATCACTCAAAAATCGGCGGATGTGTAGAAGAGTGTATCAATACGAAGTGATTAAATTTATATAGAGATGGCGTGAACATTGGCCTAGCAGAGTCCTCCTTTCTGTACCAGGTCAGGTCAGTGTTACGCCAAACACAGTCGGTGTTGAGCCATCAAACAACAAAGGAACGTGGAAGTAAGTGCCGATATGCCTCGTCGATGCCAAAGGGCGCAATACCAGCATACGAGTGAGTTCGAACAGCAGAATGGTTGGTCTATGGGATGCGACTTTGTCCTATGCACTGGCAGTGATGCGTGTGTGGAACCAGTGGATTGAGGAGGGTCGTACACTGCCACACGTACTACTGCACAAGAGCGCAAGGCACTACATCTTGACCGCATGGCGTAAATTCAGAACATCGTCGTCCACCGCGTTGACTCGACTTTGGAGCACTGCAAAGTGTGCGGTGATGTCCGTTGGCCAGAAACTACCTACGCCTCAGGCAGCTATGGGCACGCTTCAAATTGTGGTACAGCGATGGCCGTGTTCGACGCAACCGTGCTGATAGCAATCTGCCAGCCAGCTTTGTTCCGTGCCTTATGGACAAAGGCAAAGGGTGATGGTTTGGGGCGAAAGTGGCTACAATGTGCGATCTCGTCACATATGTTTTGAGGGCAATCTGAACAGCAACGGCTACGTCAGGGAGGTTTTCCTCCTTCTAACAGCTCCACATGCGACATTTCAACAGGACAATGCCCTACCGCAAGTGGCGAGGAATTCTTTCTGCGAAGAACGGCGGGTACTATTGCATACCTGGCCTGCACGTTTGTCTGACATGTCGCCCATCCAACGTCTGGGATATGATCAGTAAGCAACTTGTTCGTTCTGGTTCTCCTGCAGGCACTGGCGATGCTTCTTTGGTCACGCATTGAAACTATGTGGCAGTGAGTTCCCCAGCAGCATGGCCAGGCTCTCTTTGAATTCCCGTCACGGCGTCGAGGCAACGAGTGGCGGCTTCACACCGTAATAAATACTCAAAATACAGGTATGCAGGTAAAATGGCTGGACGATAACGCTCTTATGAAGAAAATTTTCTATTAGTATACTGCTTTACTGCTTCCGTTATTGGTTACGGACATAACTACGGTAGTCTTCGTTCTCGAGCGTGTTCTCGATGCAGGGGGTTTTTGTGGGCAATCTTGTGCAGGACGAGAGAGGAGGAGAGACAGAGAGAGGGAGATAAGGGAGGGAGAGAGAGGGGGGGTGTATGTATGCGGCTTTGATCCCCCTTTCCGGCGACTTTCCTTTCATTTCTGTTTTTCCGCGTCGGTTTTTTGTATCGGTCTTTGCGTTTTCATGGAATTTGCGGGAGCCCCCTCACTGCGGGGGCACGCGCCGTCCGCTTGGTGCTTAGTGCGCCGGATAAACCAGAATATCCGGAAGAACGTCAGCTCTATTTTCCTGTTTACGCAGTTTCGTCGAGACATCCGGCTGCGAACGCTATCATTTTCCGTTTGATAAGCAAGCGCGCTTCTTTCCTCCACATGTAAGTTATGTTATTCATCTCCCCCTCTGTCAGAATGTTAGAGTTGCTTCTCATGTGATTAACCACCATGGCTAAAACCCACAACATTTAGAAAGTATTCCTTTCACTGCCTGGCCTTTGTTATACTTTTAACATGTGACAAGAAATCTCCTATCCGTTATGATTGGGAAGGTAATTAGATTACTTAAAAATTATTCATTTACAACAAAGTTTCCATTTTGTGAATCAACTTCTAAACCCATTTGATTCACAATTGTATCTATAATACTTTGTGTCGTATTCTGTCGTTATACATCATAACTGCATTGATGCACATGTTAAAAGACTCTACAGTAGAACCTCATTAAAAATCCCACTCAACTGGGACTGGGGCCGATCTGAGTTAAGGTTATCTAGCGAATGAGGGATAAACGGTAAGAAAAGAACATGGACTCTACAGAACTATTTTTATGAATTTACACAAGAACTCATAATAAAATAAATTTAAATATTGTCAAGATACATATACATCGGTACAAACTAGTCGGTGGCCCTGAGAATGCCCAGGGCCACTTCTTCCTGTCGCCCTTTCCGCCTTCTGCGCGGCCCATCGCTGGAGGCGAGGCTCGGCAGATGGTGTGAAGGCAATGAACTCGACCAATGGCAACTGAATTCGAGTATATACCTATTGAGACTGAATATTTACCATCTGTGAAACAATTCTTCGTTTACTGCGCTAAACATGTTTTCTCCAAATGTGGTCCGGAGGTCCGCATTAACGAGGCTCTACTGTAAGACGAAATTACAGTTTGCTTGCACTTTACTATAAAGAATATATTCAGATTTCCTTCCAATTTCTGAACTTTTTAAAATTATTGTCTAACATAATTTTACACGCTACATTTTTTATCTTATTTAAGATAATTTGCCTCCCTCTACACATGAATAGTTTTTAAACACGCTAGGATTAAAAATTGCCACTTTCCTTGCGACTTTGCCTGCATGATTTAGATCTGCTGGCTGGTCTTATTCTTCTCTCATCATCCGGGATCTCACAAGAAACATTTCCAGATAATCCCAGAAACGTCAATGGGAGCATGACATACAAAAGAATACGGGAAAAGATGTATGTATTTGATCAAAATGTATCAAACAAGAAAAACATTAATCAAATAATCGAAGAAATGAGAAAGAACAATTGAATATTAACGAAAGAGATTAAAGAATGAAGAGTTTACGTCATTAGAAAATGACAGCAAAGGACAAAAGTGACAAATGACAGCGGAGCGGAAACAAAATTGATTGAGAAAGAACGTAAGTGCGAAAGAATATAAAAGGAAAGAAAATCCGTGAGGAAGAATGGGAAACAGAAAAGGAAAAAAAAAATGAATTGAAAAAATTGGGCACGATAAAGAGGGAAAACAAGATAAGGGACAGAAGCAATTAACAGGGAGGAAGGAAATAAAACGATGAAGTTCAAGAAGGTGGGAGACAAGAAAAAGAGAAAGCCGAGGCAGAGAAGAAAATGCTTCTCACATAGTCCCCCCGCAGGCAAGCAGTCTCCTCGGCCTCGTTGAGGGAGAACATGGCGAAGACGATGGAGTGGCCGGAGAGGTCGGGCGGCTGACGCAAGTCGGGGCGGCGCGAGGCGTCGAGGGCGCCTCCTGGCGGCGGGCAGCGGCGCGGCGCGCGCTCCGGTCGACTGGCGGCCGCGAATGGCACCACCTCCGCCTCCGCCTCCGCCTCCGCCAGCGCCACGCCTGCAGCCCTGCCCCAGCCAGCGGCACACGTTCGGATACCGAATGTTCGGCGCTCGGCGAAACGCAAGCAACCCCACCACACCACTCGGTATTCGCCGAATGCCGCATGTGTGGATCCGCCTTAACGCATACTTCGATTTAAATAGAGTGACTATTGACGTAAACGAGGTTATTCGATCATTAGCTTCGCATCGACTTATGTTTACCTTCTCGCTACCACTTACACAGTAGAGAGAAAGATGTGTAATGCTGCGCGAAAAAAACGGCGAATGTTCGGCAGAAAGACTATTATTACAAGATCCTAAAACCGAAAATGGATAAATCCAGATGCTAAATTTAGAAAAAAATCTTTAATACGTGGTGTACCCAGAATCCATATGTTGTGGGTCTTGATACCGAAAAATCAATTGACGGCAAAACGTCTGTTATTCTGTTTGCCCATAAACAATGCTAGCGGCAAAACCGTTCAGCCGATTTTCCCCAAAATTGATATTATCCAATTGATCTGACTGATGTCTCGACCCCTTGAATTTGAAACATATATTTTAATTCTAAGGGGTACTGCACATGAAACCCTGCGACATTTTAAAAATTTTCAAAAAATGTTTTCATCCTTTTTGTTTATTTTCTTATTGGATAAAGTAAAGGACAGATTGAGTCGGACGGAGTCGATTGAGCTGATGTTTCGGCGATCGGTTTGTGGCCTTCTTCAGAGCTATACTGCTGCTATTCAGCGTCAGCTCAATGGACTGAGACACGGCTCACCCCAGACAGCCAAGTATCCAATGACTCCGGCCGCGGAAGCCTACGAACACATAGTGCCTACGAGCCTACGAGCACAAAGGACGTTTAAAAGAATGCCGAAGGAATCATTTTCGTTAAACACTCATTTTTCGAAAATTGTAATTTTTTTTCGGAGTCTTACTACAACTAAAATATTAAAGATAGAGATTTTTTCCGTTGATGAAATCTGATCCTTAAAGATAGATTTTGAAATAAGATATGTACAATTTTTCGAAAATTTGAGTATTTTTCGCGCAATTTTGCGTGAAATATAGGCAATTTTAAATTTTGTTCAAACTCTTTTTTTTCTCTCAAATGTCATCGTTTTTGATGACATTTGTTGTTGGATAGTCTGAAGAATTTTTAAGAAAGTTGTGCAGGTTTCATGTTGGTTGAAGATTCTGATCTTTCAAAATTGAAAAATTAAATATTTTAGGCGTCTTCCTACAATTACAATTGTCAAGATATATTTTTCTTAATGAAATGTGTTCATCATTAAGATCTTCAAAGAAGGTCATGACTTTTTTAATATCAGTATTTTTTGTGTAACTTGGCGACAAATATAGTCACCTACTCCTGAATTTAGTGCGCTTCGTGAACATATTTCCATTTGGTTGGATGCTTCGTAAGTTAGATGCTGTATATTATTTCATATTTCTTTGCTCGTTTCTTACATTCGAGCCATTTTATACATTTAGAATATTTTAGAAATTATTTAAAAGCTATTTTAACTATATAAAATTGCTAGCCTTCAGGGCATCAGATTGGAATGCAAGCTCTAAAACAATGACTGCAGCTAATTTCTGTGCATTTAGTCTTATTGTTAGGACATGATCTGCTTACATGAAAAGCATTTTTATGCGCCAAATGTCTTGTTAAAACTTGCTTGAAAATATTAGTTTTTGCACCAAATGTTCTACGATTTGTAATGAGTTTTACGAAAAACGATGACAGATGTATTTATTCGGAGAGAAATTGTGGTATAAATAGTATCACATAACTATTTTAGTATCACACCACTAGTTTACTTTTGAAGCTCCTGATTTGATAACCGCATTCCAACAGATCGTACGTCAAAAGTCATTCTATATAAATTGTAGAATAGATCGACGTGAGGAAACACTACACTGTCAGAAATGTTATTAAATTTAATGTAAATTAATGTAATGAAACTTAATGTACATTGTACATTAAAAATAACGTCATTATGTATATTATGAGTTAAGCTTAAATTAAGATCATTTATATTTAATGTAGAAGTTCCCCCGCCTCATTTTGCCTCATCATCATTTACCATCGCGCAGCTCGGGTGGCCTATAACAGCATGCGAGTGTGGCCGTGAGAAGCGCCTGACCGTGGGAGGACGGTCGTAAAGCATTTTCCTGAATTTGTCCCCGGCGTGACGCTTGTCCCAGAGGGAAGCGACTGGTTTGCGGCAGGGTGTACGCGCCACCAAGAAAACTGTCGCGCTGCCCGGTTGGCCTTGGGAATTAAAGAAAAGCAGACATCTGAAAAACGTTTGGCTTCTATCCCGAACATGTGGTTGTGAGGGGGACCGCGAAAAACATTCCGGCCAGGCATACCCCAAAGGTAAGTTGTCCGAGTGATAATTAAATAAAACAACCATAAACCTCGAACGCGGTTGACTTCTCTCCCCGCCTCCCTCCCCCAGGGGCGGCCGCCTGGAATGGGGGGGCGGGGGTGGCGAAGGTTCTCGCCCTACGCGGCCAACTCACCCCCGCCCCTCTTTACGCGCCCCTGGAAAGTTCTTTGGACATGTCCGTAAAGTTAGCATACCCATTTATCACAATATTGAAAATATTGTATCCCATAATTTGATTTTCTAATGTGAAGACTAATTTATACGCCAGAATTTAAAAATTTCGTACTAATGCCAACATTGAAATATATTCAAAACCCACTAAAAGTGGCTACGCTAGACTTAACGTTAAGGTGTAGCAATACCCACACAAGAAAAACGCGATGATAAATCAAAAACTAGAGATGTACCAGACGTTTGCCCGAATCTAAATACGGTAATTTTATTACCCAAATTCGAAAATTTTGAAAATTTGTGCAACATCGAAATATTCAACACTAAAGTGGGTACTCTACCTTAACGTCATGTTAGCAATCGAGTGTAATGGGACGGTCGCACATAGCAGATGACGACACGAACAAAATATTTTATTTAATTAAGAATTGCGCCGCTGTTAAGAGCAGCCGGAAGTGATTTTTTACTGCCAAATCCGGGAAAGCCGCTTAGCGTGCCGAGAGAAAGGACGAATACGCCTACTTTGTTAAGCGCAACCCACGCCGGATGCGCCCTTGTGACGTATGGGGAAATACGCCAGCCGCACCCCCAAAACGAACAACGGAATTACCCGCGCCTAGTTCTAGAATTGCGTGACGTTAATTTATAAACAAAGAAAATTATTTTGAAATCAGTTATTACTTATAATTGCAAATACCAGGGATCAGTTTGAAATGCAACTTAAAGCAGAAAGAGCGAATCCTTTCCTGAATTTGTTATGCAGAATAAAGGACGATGTAAACGAATAGCATTGACGCCAGAGTTGTTCACACTATGGACGGACGAACGGACGTTTTGAAAAAAAAATTATTAAGCTCTTACTATGAATGACATCTTCACTATATAAACACGTTAGAGGAAGTAATTTCTATACATATTGGAACATGATTTATTAGCATTTCTGATAATCAGGGTCCCACATTTTCTGCATTACATAACTTCTCAATACTAGGCATTTTACTCCGTATAGCTTTGATTGGTACGAACACGAAAAACATAATATTCCGTTGAAGTACTAGATTTCCAATCGCAGTTTCTCCGTAGTATCCCAGTATCACCATTTGATCATTGAAGACAAATATTGTTTCACATTATCCATAATTTATTTTAAAAAACAACGAATCAATCCCCGCATTCACATGCCTGACGCCGTGATTATAGGGTTTCTAACGGCAATATGAAGTTGGAATTATTGATATTGTAGATCAATAACTAAACAACAATTAATCGTAAATACTTTTAGATATATCAAAGTCCTTTGCCGAATTAAAATCAAATCTCAAAGAAGAAAAAGAAAAAATCAAGTCACTCTCTTTTAAAGTTTTGCCTTGGTAGAAAATACAAGCTGCAGGATATGGCATCGTTCCATGTGTAAATCCTGTAAATCAGATGCATCGAATAGCCGTGGAGAACATTGCAAAGTTTTTGGTTTGGTTTTGAAAACTATAAGTCATTGACTTACGGGGTATGTATGTCCGTATGGCATGTACTGTGTGTATGACTGAACTATCACTGAAAGATTGGTTGAAAGGGATATTCATTACTAGAAATTATCCTATATACTATCATAGAAACACTATTTCAAGCAATTGTTTCTGGTATATGAAACATGTTTGATGTATGTGCACATAGTGATTTCACATAATATTGTAATAAATGTGTCAAATTACAAAACTCAACCTGAGATGTGTATTTATTTACAAGTTTAAGCAAAAAAATCCTGATTAGTTCTTGAAGTCCCGTATGTCATAAAACTCCAATGGACTATTGTACCAAAGTCCAACGGTTATTGTCTTTTGATACAAGTAAATTACATCTTTCCCTGCGTATTCTGAATCAATATTTATGCATCAGAAATTAAAAAAACAATAGAAAAGTCTTTTGTTATTCTTAATTATTTTAATATTTTTCTTATTTCTCACAACTTTACAAATCCTGATTGACAAGGATTTAAAAATAACCGATTCAGTTTTGAAGAAGTACGCCCAACATTTCCAAACGGAGGTTACTAAACGTAACAGCAGATTCTGCTGCCGCATCATTCCATTCACCAAAGCTTTTAGCGAAACCTGTTCTATACAAAAATACACAGGACCCTCCAGACGATTAGCTCGCAGGCGCCGAAGTAGGCTTCGGAAAACCCCGCCAGAAGAAAAGCTTCAGCGCATAAAAGACGCTCCAGGAAACGGCGGGCTCGCCGCCCTCATGTTTTGAATTTCCTGGGAGCATATTTAAAGACAAAAAAAAAAAAAATAATACAATTGAGCAATAAAGAAACCGATAAAATTCACATGTTTAAATTATTTTTTATGGAATCTCTGTAGCTTCTTGGTTTTCCTTATCATTGCGGAACTAACTTGATATCAAGTTAGTCGAATGTT